CTCCCGTGCCACAACCCCCTGTCCCAGCCCTGAGCTCCCTCCTGCACCCAAACTCCCTCCCGGAGCCCGCACCCCCTATTGCACCCCACTAGCACCAGCACAGGCCCCGGCCACGGGGGAAGGAAGAGCTGCAGCAGAGAGTGGCAGGAAGCGGGAGGGGTCTGGGGGTGAAGGGCCTGGTTTGAGAGTGGGAGCATCGAGTGATTCCAGGTGACGGGCACACAGAGAGACCAGAGGGGCAGTTTGCCCAGTACCTGTGACACTGAATATTGTCTCACATTACACTTCGGGATCTGTCCTCTTTCGCAGGTCCTTTTGGAAGAGTCTCTGGCAAAAACCCAGGAGGAGACAGTAAAGACCGAGGAGGAGATCCACAAACTGGAGGAACAAACTGGCACCATAAAGGTAGTAAGGCAAAGGCAGTCACCCCTCCCCACAGCTGGGATGCAGGGGGCTGGCTCCAAGTGCTGCTCCCTCTGGATAGGGCTCGGGGAGGAAGCCACCCAACTGCTGTCACGTCAATTCTTTCTCTTGTCATTTCCATTGATTTTTTTTTTCTACCCAGGATTCTTCAGAGAGGCTGAAATCGGGGATTTTGCAGAAGTTTGCCCACCTGATGAAAGAGCTGGAGGAGTGCCAGAGGGGGGCCGTGGACAAGATAGAGCAAGAGCAGGCCACTGCCCTAGGGCAAGTGGAGGAGAACTGGAGCCAGCTGCAGGATCATCTGACAATGCTCACCCAGCACCGGCAAAAGGCCCAGGAGCTGCTGATCTGTGTGGATGACATGAAATTCCTAGAGGTATTGGTGCCTGCCCAGCCATGAGTGGGGGAGCTGCGACTACCCTGTGGCCATTGGCCTGGCCACATGTACTCCAAAGGCAATTTCACTCTCTGTATAATGCCCTGTCCACACAGGCAGCTGAACCAGTCTCAAAGCTAGCTAAGAGGGTGCATAACATCTGCTCAGGAAGAGAGCCTCAGGTGTATGGAGGATAGGTCCATCAATGGCTATTAGCCAAGATGGGCAGGGATGCAACCCCATGCTCTGGATGTCCCTAGCCTCTGACTTCCAGAAGCTGGGAGTGGACAACAGGAGATGGATCACTCATTGATTGCCTGTTCTGTTCATTCCCTCTGAGCACCTGGCATTGGCCACTGTCAGAAGACAAGATAGTGGGCTAGGTGGACCATTCATTTGACCCAGTATGGCTGTTCTTGTGTTCATAGACCCTCTACGCTATGTCCAGCCAGAACCATGTTAGAAATGACCCCCCACACCCATCTCTCCCTTCCCTGCACGCGCACAGTGGAAACTGAGTCTGAGTCTATAAAGTGGTTGGATGGCAATTTTAATATTGTAGAGTATGGACTAGAGATGGGCCTAATCAAATTCCTGACCCTGAAACATTGGTGTGCTCGAAACGTGACCCTGGGCATGGACCAGCGGTTTATGACTAGCCCCCATTTTCCCAATGAGCGAAAGTCAAATCCAGTTACAGAACAGCCCTGCATTTTTCAATCAGGATCCAGATTCTATGTTTGCAGCTGAAAAGGGCCCATTGTCAGCTGAACCCAACCTTTTTCTGCTAGAGCGAGTGCCCTTGACACAGCGGGGCCTGAACTCTGAGGAGTTGCATCTCTGCCCTCCTCTGGTGGTTTCTAAAGGACTCTTGTGCACGGGAGTGCGGGCAGACCCGAAGCAACCCCATGCTACTGTCGGAGAAAAACAGAGTTCTCACTCTCAGGTTGGGTGCAGCAAGTCAGATACGTTATTATCTCTAGCAATTGCATGGAGGGAGAGAGCTAAACAGGTCTCTCTTCGGGTAAACAATCACAGCAAGCATTTATACCTTTTGTTACATACAATAATGAGCAACAGTTGCATTTTGTTTATACATAGGTCATCATGATATCTTATTTTTCTCACCTATATTTAGACTATAGTCTACATTCCATACTTATCTAACACAAGGTCGCAACAACTTCTCACACAGTTCTTTCCCACTCGCCTCACACAATCCTCGCTTCTACAAATCTCGCGTTATTAGGGTTACAGCTAGCCTGACTCTTGCTCACAGAGGGGACTGTTTGCATTGACATCCCCTTCAAATCCCTGTCAGTTCTTTCTCTAATTCCACACTACCAAGCATGCTCGGTGCCTCTTCAGCTTTGCTGCAGCTATTACTGGGAAACACCACCTTGCAGGAAGATGGTGCACGTGAGCTCCCCCTAGAGGACTGCATGAGGCATTGAGGCCTGCAAATTATGTATCTAATGCTATCAAATGCCATGTTACAAGGTGACAACGTATCCTTGCTTGGGGTGTTGTGTTCAGTTTGGCTCCCTCCTTTTCCAAACAATAGAGAGAAATCCAGATGAGGGCAATGGAAATAGTTAGAGGCCTGTGTGGGAAGGAAGAGGATTCATTTTAGGGTTGCCAACTTTCTAACTGCTGAAAACTGGACACCTTGCCTCACCTCTGCCCCGCCTCTTCCCCGGCCCCGCCCCTGCTCACTCCTCCCCCCTGTTGCTCACTCCTCCCCCTGTTCTGGGGCTCACCTGCCGCTTGCAGAGCTGGGTTGGGAGGAGCTGACATGGAGCCTTCCCGCCTGCCCAACTGGGATGGAGGGGGGAAGTCAGTACCCAGAGCAAGGGGCCGGGGTGGGGAAATCGGGGCAGACAAGATTACACACACTCACACACACCAACCTCTCTGCCAGAGAGGCTGGAGCTAGCCGAGAGCAGCCAGCCACTTCTGTCCATGAGCAGCTTCGCCTGGCTCCAGCTGCAACTGCTGTGCATCCCACCCTGTGGAGGCGGAGACTGGTTACTGCGGGTAACAGGACTTTTAGTGTCCGGTCAGCACTGCTGACTGGACACTGCCAGGCTCCCTCTCCGACCGGACTTTCCAGTTGAAAACCGGACACCTGGCAGCCCTAATTAGACTGTTCTACCCTGATGCTACTCCGTAAAGGCCCCTGTACAGAGGAACATCACCCATTCTGACAGTGATAGGAGCAGTGGGTGCAGCTGAACACAGCTGAGCTACAGGCATAGCCCAGGACAAGCCGTTCAGCATCGTGAAGTAGCAGGGTTACTGCGAGTCCCCGGAGCAGATGAATTGGAGAAGTAGATGCAGATGCCAGGGGACATGATGACTGTGCCTTCCCCTTTCCATAGGGAAGGGGGTTTCTGAGCTGTTGTGCCACTGAGCCTCCAATCTGAATGCTGGTATGTGCTGCATTTCCTCTTCTCTTCCTGTCCCGTGCAGGAATTCCTGCTGCTCCCTTCTCTGGCCAGCCTGGGAGTTTTGCCAGCTGTTGAATTCAATGTGGCCAGCACGGTGGATTCCACTGCTAAGATCCTCACCGAGGTCTCGAGACTTTTGCTGGAGGATTTGCCCAATTCCCTGAACCCAAAGGCGGCTGATGCTGAAACCAAAGGTAAGCTCTTCCCTTGAGGACCTTCCCCCCCACTGCCCAGCTGGACACCAAGCCACCGTCCCACCCCTGCCTGTATAAATCATCTGTCTGCAGTGGAACTGATGTAGATATGCTGGGCTAACGTGTGTGTGTGGGGGGGGGGGACGTCTCACCATTCACATCACAAGAATCCCCCCCATCCCCACATGTGGCACTAGAGGGGCCGCTTGTTGGCTTGGGCCAGGTTTTTGTTACCAGATCTACTGCAGTAGCCTGAAGGTTGGGCCCCATTGTGCTAGGTGCTGTACGAACAAATAGCAGATGACAGTCTGAAAGACATAACGGGCGGATGAGATGAGCAAGTCAGTGTCCGGTGCTTAGCGCCCGTTACTTTAGCATCTGAGCACCTCACACCCGCTAATGGATTTAGCATCACGGCACCCCTGTGAGGTGTCACCCCCATGGTACAGAGGCTGAACTGAGGCCCAGAGTAGATTAAGTGACTTGCCCAATGTCACACAGGGAGTGTGTAGCAGAGCAGGGAACTGACCTAGGTCTCCCAAGTCCCAGGCTGGCATCCAGCCCACTGGGCCATCCTTCCTCTCGGACAAGCAGGCTGGGTGGGGTGGGGCCAGGAGATGTAATGGGATGTGCCAGTTCTTAGGGGGTCAGGAGATTGATTCCAGCTCCCCAGTCTAGCTCTGGTCAGGGCGTGCTTTACTGCATGCCCTGGGGCTCTTGCATATAGACATGGGCTCCCCGGCAGGCCTAGCTGGACCCGCTCCCTCGGCTGTAACATCAGAGTGACTGAGCTGGAGTTTTTGTTAAACCCTCGTTTCCTTCCTCCCACCCCAGAGACACACAGACAGGCAGCTGCAACTCAGTGGTCAGAGCCGGGCTGTGCTTCTGAAATCCCGCCCAGATACCTCTGTCTGCGGGAACAGTTCCCTCCTTGTTTCTAGAGCTTTCTCTTTCTCTTTTGCTCTGCAGAGTCAACCAAGCCAAAGTCGCTTACTGTGATGAAGGCAGGACCAGCCCTTCCCGAGTGTGAATTAAGAGTGGAGCTTCTGAAGGGTGAGGCAGTTCTGGGTCTGAGTGCAGCTCAGAATAACACGCGCTGGGAGCCAGCCACGCGGGTGGGTGGGAAGAGTAGGATAGTGTGTCTATAACCTATGAAGGGGACTGGGGTTTCCTTCTTGGACTGGTAACAACATAGCAATTTAGCAAGCCAAGGCTGTGCCTCGGCGGGATCTGAGTTACCATTTTCAAGGCAAATCTGCACTCCCTAGGCAGGATGGCTTTGGGCTTACTACACTTGTGAGTTACAGCGCAATAAAGGAGCCCCGGGCACCCTACCTCTCTCCCCGTCCACACTGGCAAGGCACGTAGAGCGCTCTGACTCCGCGGCTAGAGCGCTCCTGGTACTCCACCTCGGTAAGAGGAATAATGTTTGCTGCGCCTTGGCTACAACGCCCGGGCGTCAGTGTGAATGAGGTGTTGCGTTACTGCGCTCAGATCGGCCTCCGGAAAAGTCCCAGAATCCCCTTAAGTCAAGTGACCACTCTTGTCATTGTTTTGAACTCCTGTAGGAATGCAGAAATGCCCTTTCAAAGCTCCGTTTCTGACAGCCGGCAGGCAAGCTGTTACTGTGGAATGCTGTGTGAGAGAGAGAGAGGCGGGGGGGGAAAGAGGGGAGTCTGCTGCTGTCTGAACTTACAAGACAGCATGCTGACATGCTCTCAGCCCCCCCAAAACCCACTCTCTCTCCCCCCACATACACACAATCATAGGCGCCGACTCTGTAGGTGCTCCAGGGCTGGAGCACCCACAGGGAAAAATTGGTGGGTGCTCAGCACCCACCGGCAGCTCCCCGCCTCCCCGCCCAGCTCACCTCTGCCTCTGCCCCGCCTCCGCCTCCTCCCCTGAGCGCGCCGCGTGCGCGTTTTTTCCCCCTAGCTTCCAGCGCTTGTGCCACGAAACAGCTGTTTCGTGTGGCTGGGAGGGAGGGGAGAGGAGGGGGAACACGGCGCGCTGGGGAAAAGGCGGGGCCGGGGCGGGGATTTGGGGACGGTGTCCAATGGGGCAGGGAGGGGCGGAGTTGGGGCGGGGACTTTGGGGAAGGGGTTGGAATAGGGGCGGGGCCAGGGACAGGGGGGCACAAGCACCCACCGGCGCCAGGGAAAGTTGGCGCCTATGCACACAACACGCTCCCTGTCACACTCCACCCCACCCCTCCCATTTGAAAAGCACGTTGCAGTCACTTGCATGCTGCGATAGCTACCCATAATGCACCACTCCCAATGCCACTGCAAGTGCCGCAAATGTGGCCATGCCCGTGCGCTTGAAGCTGTCAGTGTGGACAGACTGCAGCGCTTTCCTACTGCGCTCTACAAAGGCTGGTTTAACTCAAAGTGCTCTACATCTGCAAGTGTAGCCATGCCCTGAGTGTGGCTAAAGTGATCTGGATTTTACCCCTGCTTCTGACACGGGCTTCCTGGGTGACTTTGAGCACGGCTGTATCTCAGCTGCCCTAACAATAGGGGATCAGAATACTCTGTTGCCTCACAAGGGAGCGTGGGACTTCAGTCATCCATGTGTGCAAAGGGCTTTGAGATCTTCAGATAGAAGTTAACATTGTTAGTAGCTTACAAGGCACAAATACCTCAGCTACCATTACTTAGGCTGGGTCTACACTACACACCTACATCAGTATAACTACATCACTAGGGGTGTGAAAAGTCCACGCCCCTAAGTGACATAGTTATATCGACCTTAACGCCCCTGTGTAGACAGTGCTCTGTCGCGGGAAAGCTTCTCCTCTCGACATAACTACTGCCTCTCGGGGAGGTGGATTAACTACGCAGACAGGAGCAGCTCTCTTGTTGGCGTAGTAGCGTCTACACTAAAGCACCACAGTGGCACAGCTGCACCGGTGTACGTGGAGACAAGCCTTTAGTGGACCCTTTAGTTACAAGAGACCCAATTCTCCCACTGCAATCAGCAGGAATTCCTCGTCCCCCAGGGTGGGAGAATGGGGGCCAGGGTAAGTTGTAGAAGCAGAGTAATTCCAGAATACCACCTGTAGGTGGGAGTCCCTCTCTTTTATATACATACATACATACACACACACACACACAAAAAAAATCTCTCCCTCCCTCTCTGACTTCTCTCTTCGGCAAGCGTCAGGTGCCTGCTCCCGCCCAGCCATATTTAGGCACAGAACTTTCCATGGGGAATGCTGAGAAGCTTAATCACTGCAAGCAGCTGCCAGGCTCCTGGCACAGAGCAGGGATTCATCTTGGCTGGTCACATCTGAACTGCACGTCTCGTGGCACAGCGTAGAATTGAAGTGACGGGGCAGCCAGTCCAGAGAGTTGCTCCACTCACAGGGGAAAGGGATAGCACCCTCCCAGTACATTTGACCCTCCCCAACCCACCCTGCCTCAAATCTTAATTGATCCGGGCAGTCTCCTGGACTCTGCTCCCTTGTTTTAAGAACTTGGTGTCTCCCTGGATGTTATCGCTTTACATCTTTTCCCATTTCTACCTCTCTGAGCAATCACCCTGCTGAGTCTATCAGACAGTCTCCAGTTTGGCTTGGTTAGCTCCTGCTTTCAAAAAACCCAGCCCTTTGAGAGGTCTGAGCAAGGGGCTGAGAGCCAGGAACTTCTGGCTTCTATTCTCAGCTCCGATGCCAATTCCTAGAATGCCCCTTTAACCCTCTCCACCCCGACTTCCCCATCTGTAAAACAGGGATGTTAGTATTTACTACACACGTTTCTAATATACCCATCACCACAGTGCCTGGAAGATCAATCATTAATACTTACAGTGCAGGGCTGATACAGGGATTGGTTAATGTCTGTAAAGAGATGTATTCATAAGCAGTGCCATAGAATGTTTGAAACATTATTAATTGTAATAATGTTATTTATTATTAATGAACAAAGGTCCATAGGAGCTAACTGAGCAAGGTTATCTCCGGGCGGGACTCCAATGACTGGGGAGCAGAAGCACCCCAACAGAGGTCAATGCATCTACTGGGAAATGCTGTGCATAGGGGATAGTGAGAAATAGTTCTTAGAACCAGAACAAAGATGGTGCTGGCAGAAGGCCATTGGCATCCTCCTCCTCCTCCTCCTTTCAGAGGATCTCAAAGCACTTTGCAAGAATTCATTAATTTAACCTCCTGATACGCCCATGAGTATCTCTATTCCCATTTTACTGCTGGGGAAACTGAGGCATGGGGCGGGGACATGACCTGCCCGAAGTCGCACAACGTGCCCGTGCAAGAGCCAGGAACACAACCTAGAGCTCCTGACTCCCAGTCCTGTGCCTTACCCTCAAAATCACCCTGTCACCCAAACGTGCTTTGCGTTTTCCATCTTCAGAGAATTTTACATAGCTGAGTGATGCCTGGGCTGGATTCCTGACATAGGCACGGGGTGGGGGTTGGGGAGGAGGAAGGTTAAAGGAAAATTAAATTGTTCTTGCCCCTGTGGTTTATACTGTGGATGTCCATGTTGCCCACAGATCATCGAAATTTGACCTTCGACCCAGACACAGCCAATAAGTACCTGCAGCTGTCCAATCAGAACCAAAAGGCCAAGCACACCCATTCTCCTGATGGCCTTTGTCAGGATCATGCCGACAGGTTTGAGCTGTGGCAGGTTCTGTGCAGCCAAAGCTATAGCCAAGGCCGCCACTACTGGGAAGTCAGGATCTCCAGCCACTCCGTCATCCTAGGAGTAACATACAAGAAAATCCAGAGGAAGAAGCGAGCGGGTCGCTCCTTCAGCATCGGACTGGATGGATTGTCCTGGGGGCTGCAGATCCGGGAGGACTGCTACTTGGCCTGGCACGAGGGCCAGTGGCATAAGATCAGGGCGCCCTTGTACAAATGCCTCGGAGTCAGCCTGGACTATGGCACAGGCGTCCTGTCGTTCTATGGCATCGGGGACGAGATGAAGCTCCTCCACTCTTTCCACTGTGTCTTCACCGAGCCCCTCTACCCAGTCTTCTGGCTCTGCGAAGGCAGAGCCGTCACCCTTTGCCAACAGAACTGAGCCAGCAGCTGGGATGCAGAAGCCACGCCATAGCCAGCGGGGCGTATCCCATCTTGCAGCCAGCTGCCTGGCTTTATTCGGTGGGCAGCCTACTAAAGTTGTAGCCAGGACTGGAGGGGTCACAATGCAGTTGGTTTGACAGGGCCGAGGCGATGGGGTTGCAATGAATTAAACACGGGCAGATGAGGCGGGGACCCTGAAAAGCAAAGAAACGTGGCTGGAATGAAAATTGCCCAAGTAGTTCAGCCCTATGTAAATTAGAGTTAGGTGGCAGGAGACCTCTCACAAGGATCCCCTGCTGGAAGAGCTGAAGCTAATGGGATTCAGAAGGCACCTGGCATCAGTCTTGTTGCGTGTGGAACGTCATTGCCCGTCTCCAGCCCATGTGACATTAACATGGAGGAATTAGGATCCTGTGGTGGCACCATGAAAGGGCTGCAGTTTGGGAGGCTCTGATGGGATGGTGGCAGGAGAGGAGATAGCACAGCTTGATGTCCCAACCCTCATTTTCTCTGCCTCCCAGAACCTTGGACAGTCACCTCCTGCTTTTTGTTCTGCAGAGCAGTTGCTATCAGAGAGGTGTCCTTGCATAGGCGCCGACTCCATGGTGCTCCAGCCCCGGAGCACCCATGGAAAAAAAATAGTGGGTGCTCAGCACCCACTGGCAGCCTCACGGATCAGCTCTGTCTCCGCCCCCTCCCTCCCAGCACCTCCCGCCCGCCTTGATCAGCTGTTCAGCGGTGTGCAGGAGGCACTGGGGAGGAGTGGGGGCAGGAGGCAGAACGGGGTGGGAAGTGGGAAGAGGCAGGGTGGGGGAGAGGTTTGGGGGAAGGAGTGAAGTGGGGGTCCAGCACCCCCAGAGAAATCACAAAGTCGGCGCCTCTGTGTCCTTGCTAAGACACTCTTAGCTTATTGGAGGAGATGCCGGTGGGACAGGCCCTTCACCGACGTGCTGTAGAGGGCTGAGGAGGTGGTTACTCTGGTATTGCAAACTCTTAACCACTTTCTCCAAACCACCCATGTTCCGGGATGGTTCCAAGAAGAGATTCCAGTCTGGCCCCTTTCTAGCATGCCGGGCTGTTCTCGCGCCAGGCCTCAGAACATTCAGAGCACAGTGTGGGGGGGGGGATGAGAGGGGAGTGGACTTTTTCCTCTGCTCTGCGGACAGTCAATTCCCATGGTTGGGTTCTACTTGTTCCCCTCTGGAATAAAGCTCTGTTTTCTTATGCTGTGTGCGTTTGCCTGGGAGCTCAGGTCTGGTGAAAGGAGCTGGATTGACAGGAGGCAGACTGGAGGAGGAAGTTCTAGCTAGCCACAAAACAGACCCAGTGTGGGCAGCAGTAGGCGAGCTTCCCATACTCCTGGCCTGGCCATGTGCCTCCCCAGGAGTCCCGTCCCATCCCTTGTGTGTGTCCTTGTCTTGTCTGATTCAGTCCCCTAGGGAGATGAATGTGTTTCTTCATTTCAGCCAACGTGGTTTGGAAATGTAAGAGTTTTTTTTTTTTTTTAAAAAAGGAAACTTATACCCCACAAACCAACTACCCTCTCCAGCAGCCCCTGCACTGGGCCGCATGGGGCTGTTCCTTTAACTGGCCAGGACTTTGCTCTTCCCCATCACTCAAACTAGTCTGTGCTGAAGGGTGAAGCTGTGCCTTGCTGGGTGGCAGGGGAGTGTCGTGTAGTGCCGGTGCTGTTCTCCTGCTTTGACAGGCCACAGAGCGGTTGGAAGCAATGGCCGACCATGCCCAGCGGTCCTTAGCTGTGAGCCTGCCTGCCGCTCAGCCCAGTCTGCCAAGCTTTGCTCTGTGCCTGCCCCTCATTCCCATCCTCCACAGCTCCCTTCCAGCCTGCACAGCTTCACCTCCCAGCCACGTGGTTGAAGTGACTACTAGGAGGCATTGTCTCGGTACCTTTTCCAGGATAAAGATTTGTTGCTCTCCTGCTACTAGAGGGTGTCTGGAACCACGGCCCTCGGTGATGCTCAACAGAGAGGTTCATGGAAGTATTGATGCACTAAATCTCCAGGGAGGTCCCCTGGCCCACATCCACTTTACACCAGGAGTGGATTTGGCCCAATGACTCTGTTGTCGCTGCTGGACTCCCACAGGTAATTTGCCTCTCCAGCTGCCCTGTTTGAAATGAGTTTGACCCTGATCCAGTTCCCCGCGGACAGGTATCCACAACCACATCCCAAAATACCACCACCGCAGCTGGCGTGACTTGATCCCTGCTTCAGGGGGTACCCCCATGTCACTGTCTCTGAGGGAATCTCCATTGCAAGGGGCACCCCCATGTCACGGTCTCTGGGGGATCCCCGCTGCAGGGGCCTGCCCCCCACGTCCGTTTCTCTTGGGGATTCTGTGCCCCCCGGAGTAGGGTGACCAGATGGCCTGATTTTATAGGGACCGTCCCGATTTTGGGGTCTTTTTCTTATATAGGCTCCCATTACCCCCCACCCCCTGTCCCGATTTTTCACACTTGCTGTCTGGTCACTCTACCCCAGAGCCGGCCCCAGGGCTACCGCTCTGACACCAGTTCCTGTTGGGCGGAGCTGGCAGCCCTGCTCCCGGCTGGCGAGTCCCTCGCACTCGCAGGGAGCAGCTCGCCCGAGCAGCATGGAGAACGGCTCGGCCGGCGGCAGCCTGCCCAGCCCACAGGACTCCCCTTTCGGCTGCCCCATCTGCCTGGACACTCTGAAGGACCCGGTCACCATCCCCTGCGGCCACAACTTCTGTCTGGGCTGCCTAGGGGCGCACAGACACCGCCCGGGGGCCGGGGCGGGCGGCGGGCAGGGCGCCCCCCGCTGCCCGCTGTGCCAGGAGCCCTTCCCGGCCGACCTCCAGCTCCGCAAGAACCACACGCTGTGCGAGCTGCTCCAGCTCCGCCAGCCGCCGCCCGGCGCCCGCAGCCCCATGGCCCCGCCGGCGCCCCCGGAGAAGGAGGCCCCCGGCCCGTCGGAGCCCGGCGGCGCCCCCCAGCGACAGGAGCCGGAGGAGGCGCAGGAGGGGGGGGTGCTGTGCGATGTCTGCCCCGAGGGCGAGCGGGCCACGGCGGCCCAGTCCTGCCTGGTGTGCCTGGCCTCCTTCTGCCCGCCCCACCTGCAGCCCCACCTGCGGAGCCCGGCCTTCCAGGGCCACCGCCTGGTGCCCCCGCTGCGCCGCATCGAGGACAGCCTATGCAAGCTGCACCTCCGGCCGCTGGAGAGCTTCTGCCGCACCGACCAGGCCTGCATCTGCCAGCTGTGCCAGGGCCAGGAGCACCGGAGCCACGAGGTGGTGGCGGTGGAGGTGGAGCGGGAGCACAAGGAGGTAAGGTGGGGGCACAGAAGGAGCTAGGGGAGGATCTTTCTACTTCTCTGAACAGCCCTCGCCACGCTGGGTGCCCAGACCCTTGTGGGGTTTGCTCCCCAGGGCCAGGACAGCAGGGAGTGTTGCATTGAGGGGCATCAGGGCTAGGATAGCAGGGGGCTGTGGGTCAGGATTGAGGGGCATCGGTAGGGCTGGGTGGGGGGAGCCTAGGCCTGGGTCAGGATTGAGGAGCATTGGCAGAGCTGGGGGGAAGCGCAGGGGTGGGATTGCAGGGGGCTGTGGGTCTGGATTGAAGAGCATCAGCAGATCCGTTTAGTTGATACCAGCATTGAGGGGCGGGGTCAGGAATGAAGGACATCACAGAGCTTTTTTGGAGAGGCATCCCAGGACTGGAATATCAGTGATGCTGCAGGGCAGGATTAAAGGGCACTGGTAGATCTGTATGCAGGGAGCTCAGGACTGAAATATAAATTGAGTGATGGGCTAAAGCTTGGGTTGGGGAGGGGGTTGTCTGTTTTCCAAGCTGGGAACACAGTTTGGCCCCTTGCACACATGTAGGACCAAAGTCTCCAACCCTATTAAATCACAGTGCTATGGCATAGTCAGTTTCATAGTATAGTGCTTAACAGTCAAGGTAGGATTTTGCCAGTGGAGGGAGAAGGAAGGGAAAAAAGGTGTCAAGATCCCAGAACACTTTGTGCTTGTTAACTTGAAAATGGTGCTCTGTTCTCTGCAATTCCCTGGAGCTGCAGCCAGGCGGGGGAAAAGCCGCATTGGAAAATCCACTGACAAGATGTTTTTAAGTAAAAATAACAGTTTAACCGGACTGCTACAAAGGGTTCCGTCTGGGCTGCCAGATTACACACATGCAAGAGATCTGGTAATGTAACTGATTATGTGTGGGTTTGGGGAGGAGGCAGAAACAAAAGTCTGGGCATATGCAGGTTCCTTTGGGACGTACTGGGCCAAATCCATCCCTGGCCTCACTCCATGGCCTTCACTTGAAGTAAAGCTGGGAGCAATTTGTCCACTTGTGTCTCTTTCCCACAGTATCTTAAATCAGGTCCTTTATTTCTTTTGGCTCCATTCCCAGATTCCATTCCTTGCTCCATTCGTCTTTTGTGTTCTGTCGGCAGGGATTTTTCCATCACTCCCGTTCCCAGATGGGCCTGACTCATCTACCAAATTCTCACCCACAAGGTTTCCTTGAGCTGTCAGTTTCATTCTGGCTCATCTGCAGTAGTTGGGAGAAGTTCCCAAAGCGAGAGAGGAGGCGTTGCCAGGCGTTGCCATGACCTGGCTAATGGCCACTGCCCTCTACTGGTTAGAATCAGAGTTGCTGAAGTGTCTGTGTTATGGCTCTTATACCGCTAACAATGGGGAGTCTCCTTCAGCTCAAGTGGCAAGGGGTCTGTGCTATTGCAGCAGATGGATCGGAGTCTGATTCCCGCTGGTGCTAGGAAGCTCTGAGTGGGCGTAGCTGGTAGAGGCAAACCTAGGTGATCACAGCCCTGATTTATAGTGGGGAGTACCGGGGTGGAATTAACACATGCTATTTCATCTGGTTCTTGAGGCCACCCTCCTGCTGCCGCAAAATCCTCTTGCCTTTATTATTGAGTGCCATCGGTGTGATCTGCACGGTGGAGAACACACAGGAAGGCAGGATCTCCAAGGAGCTGCCAGCCTTAGGCAAACAGTACACTGCCCACCGGATCTAGCATGTTTAAGGCAGATCATATTGGAGGCACAATCTACTGGACAGTGTTGGCTCATTAATATTAATGTAACTACTCACAGTGGATTGGCTTGAGGGATGGGAAAGGGGGCATGGTAATGCTAAGGGTCATGCTTCACCACCCCCCAGGCATCAGGAAGGTTAGTCCAAGATGGTATCTGGCAATGGAGGAGGGTGGGGTCAGCTTCTGGGGGAAGAGGTATCAGGCAGCTGCATTGGGATCTGAAGTTGCCGTAAACAGCCTGAACCGTGTCAATGTCAATTTCGTTGACCCTCCCCGCTCCCTCCCATGGGGTTCTGCAGCTTCCCGGGTAAGATCTCTCCCATGCTCTGGTCTCCTTATGCTCTCAGCCACTGGCGTGTGCCATGCTGTTGGTATGGTTTGGTGTGTGGCTGGCTTTTTCCCTTCATCAGGCGACAGCACAGTGTGCCTTGCTCTCAATGCGCCTCTCCCAGGCCGATGTCTATCCAAACACCATGAACGTTGCTCATGTGCATCTGTGGCTGCAGCCACGTACTGTGCCCCTCGCAACCTTCACGAAGGGGAGAGCCTTCTTCCCAGAACTCAAACCTCAGACACCCAGGAAATGTGGCGTCAAGGTCCCGCCCCCTCAATGCCAATGAGCATGATGTCCCATCCCTGCCTCCGCCAATAGGTGTGGCCCTCCCCTCCATGCCCCATGTTGCCGGAGCTATTAAGCCAATGAGCACAGAAGTAGAGTGGAACACCCTGCGTGGTGAGTTACCCACCCTGCAAAGTGCTGAAGATGCACACACTGTTCTGAGCGGTGGGTAATAGGGGGCATGAAGGTGTGACTGGCGTAACAGGTGTCCATTGGGTCCGTGAAATGCCCCATCCAGTTGGGCGAGCCGTGTGATCTGCCCTGCTTCGACTGGCTCATTGTAGGGTCGTTTCCACACGTAGTGCTCAGCAGAGTGGCGCGGTGGAAGCTTGCAGTGTTGGACATGAAAGCCAATAGGGTTGGCACAAGTTTGAATCCTGCTCGCAGCGAGCGGCTCATTTAAACAGGTTGGACAAACACCTGTCACGGCTGGTCCTACCTCAGTGCACAATGCTGACCTCTCAAAGTCCCTTCTAGCCCCACAGTTCTGGGATTTTGTCAGTCTAGAAAAGAACCCCAAATCTCTCTCGTGTCTCCCTGGCCGCTCGAACCTCAAGGGAAGGCAGAGTCCATTGATGTCTGTGTCTCCGCTGCAATTTGAGGACTAAGGAAGGACTAAGCATTTGCAAACTGACTGCCTGCTTGATTTTGGGGGCCCATAATTCTGGAATCCCCTGTTTGATTTGCCTGAAATTTGGTAGAAAAATTCTGCCTTGGCCTCAGAGGCATCCTCCCGATTTTCAGCTCAGGTGGTTTTTATTTACAGAATTTAGAGGGGTGGATGTGAAAAATAAGGGTTATCATGAAAAAGGGTTTGTAACATTAGCTATGGAGCGAGTGCTGTGGCTCCCTGCAGGTGATGTGTATAAGACGCACCCATTTGGAAGGCTCAGGTTCTGAATGCAGCCCGGGTATGGCAGCTAACGCACCTTTCAGCAGGGCTGTTTTCATCCTTTTTGTTTTCAAGGCCCAGCGACCCAAAATCCTGAGCTGTGTGGAGAACCAGCTGGTCGAGCTGGGAGTCACCGTCGCGCAGACCAGAAAGACCGTGGAGCTCATCAAAGTAAGATGACCTTGTCCTCACCTTGCCCAGGGCTTGAGCTGAGCTTGGAGCATTTCCTGCCCCCTTCCACCTTCCCTCTGAACTGCGTCCTCTAACAAATGCCCCGGCGAGCCCCCCTAGAACCGAGAGCAACTTCGGAGAGACTTCTACTAGAGGCAGCTCTTCCCAGTTCGGGAGTGCTCAGGTGCTTTGGGAAAGCATGGCGGCCGCCTGACCCGATACATGGCCCCCAATCTGGAATGTTGTCAGGATAGGAAATACTGCCCCTGGAACTGAGGTTGCTCCCCTGGAGGAACTCATCTGGGGAGGTATTTCCTTTAGCCCTGTCAGTCCCCGTGGCAGCCACATCCCTAAGCTTTCAGCAGGCTGATTATACTCCAGGGTTGCGTGTCTGTCACCCATTCGCCTCTACGGTTCACCTAGCTTTCTGCTCCCATTTGGGGAGGTGTCCTGCCTGCTCCACGTTTCAGACCGTGGATTTGGCATTAACTGCATCTCTGCATGGGACAGCAAAGCGCAGCCTGAGGGAAGGTGCTGAACTGCCATTTCCTGTGGAGAGAGGTGATCAAAGTGAAACAAGTTGGACAAGTGCAGCCATGCTCCATGGAAATGCAAAGGGGCACAGTGGGGTCTGTTGGGTTCTACACCTGCCTCTGCTACTGCCTCCCTGTCTGACCTTGGTTCACGTCACCTCTCTGTGCCTCCGTTTCTCCCTGTATAAAATGGGGGCAGTAACACCCGCTGACCTCAGAGGGGTGGGGTGTGGCATAGGTCTTGTCTACACTGCTTGGAGTGCATTTTTTGGCACCACTTCAGCTGCACCGTGCAGACCCTTCATGGAAGCACGGTGCCCTAGTACAAGTGGTGGTTTGCTCCGGTGCAGCTACATTAGTGCCGAAAACCCCAGTACAGGCAAGATCTTAATGAACTGCTGCTGTTTGTAAAGAGCTCTGAGATCCTTCCATGAACTGAGCTATAGAAAGGGGAAAGCTAATTACTAACAATGCAGATGCCCATCTTTGTGTGCGTAGAGCGCCGCCCTGAAGGAGAAGGAAAAAGTCAGCAGGCTCTTTGATGAAGCATCCAGAGCTCTGGTGACCTTCCAGAAAGAGGTGACTGGCTTCATCGAGGATGGCGAGCGATCCATGCTGCTTGAGGCTGAAGCAGATCTCCGGCAGAAGGAGGAGAAGCGTGCCACGCTGGCTCAGTGCAGGCAGAACCTGGAGAGGGTTCCGAGCACGGATACCATTTACTTCCTACAGGTGCGCAGGGACTGGCGCCAGGAGCGGAGCAAGCACTGGGGCAGGGTTAAAAATCACAAATGACCGGAGGTACTGATCTCCGCTAGCGCTTCCTGTGGACCTGGGGAGCTGGAACCAGGGCCGGCTCCAGGCACCAGCGCAGCAAGCAGGTGCTTGGGGCAGCCAACAGAAAGGGGTCGCACGTACGGCTCTTCGGTGGCAATTCGGCGACGGGTCCCTCAGTCCCTCTTGGAGAGAAGGACTTGCCACCGAATTGCCGCCGAAGAATGAAGCGGCGGCGGTAGAGCTGCCGCCGAAGTGCTGCCGATCGCAGCTTTTTTTTTTTGCCCCCCCTGCCACTTGAGGTGGCAAAAACGCTGGAGCCGGCCCTGGCTGGAACATGACACTTCCAAGCCCCTCTCCCTCCAAACTGCAGTGCAGCTCTTGGCTAATCCATTATTCAACCAGGATCTGACCCAAAGCCCACTGAAAGCAACGGGTGTTTTTCCATTGCCTTCAGTGGGCTTTGGGTCAGGCTGCTAGTGAGCAACTTGCCCACACTCATGTTGCAAATGGAAGACAGACGGACACGGAGCAGATGGAGCAGAGGTTCACTGTCAGCAACGGGAGCTGGGAGCGCCTGGGTCCTGGGAGCAGCGAGACGCTGGGAGTGCATGTTGACCTGCACCAAGTACATAGCTAGATACTTACCAAATTATTGTTAACATTGAACCTTCGTTCTAACTGAGGGCATGACTCTGTGAAGAACAAGGGCCCAGGAGCTGGCAAAGGTTAGAATATGCCAGCGATCCCTACTGGTATGTGACAGCGCATGTGTAACCCACGCACCTCCTGGGTGTGGTGCTCTGTCCCATGTAGTGGCGTCGAGACCACTTAGAGATTAATGAGTCTGCTCTACAGCCTTAGCTAACAGCCACGTGGCTTTTAGCTCATGCAGTAGAGGCTCATGCACTGAGCTCCAGAGGTCCCAGGTTCGATTGTGCCTGCTGACAATCAGGATCTGTTGGTGTTACACATGCATAATAGCAGGTTCAGATCTGCAATGCAGCAGTGTGGGGACAAAGCCTGTAGACTTGTGCCTCCTAAGGGCACGTTAATCAGGTAGCAGGTGAATGGAAATAGGAGGTGAAGAGGGGGAGTTGTTAGGGAAAAAAACAATGCAAATGACGCCCTCGGCTCAGGCCCGTAATTAAAGGTCACTACAGTGAGTTTGATACTGGGTTTTTGGGTTGTATGTGAACTAACTCGCCTCTTGCCACTCACTGGAAAGTTAAAGGGAGGAAAAATAATGGGCAGCTATTGTGGGCATGCACAAAGCAGCCCCTGGCATGGAGGCAATCTCTGCAGAGCGAGCGATCCTCAAGCACCTCAGCTGTGGAGCTGGGGCAATGGTCCTTGGTGGGAGGAGATACTGTTGTATGTGATATTCTTGAGTTAGATTTGAAACTGACTAAGGAACACATGGCCAGAGAAGTCGTTCCCTCCCTGTTGCATGTCTGTCTCCATGCTGGGTCCTGGGAACAATCACTGCACTAGTGTTTTGGGAAAGGGTGTGGTGGTGGAACAAGACGCAGCCCAAGATTCTTGCAGGCTCTTGATCCCTGTATCCTGTATTGGCTCAGGAGTTCCAGGCCTTAAAAATAGCAGCTGAGGAAAAGAGTTCCCTGTGTCCAAGCTTCCAGAAGGAACTGAGCTTCACCAAGTCCAGCCAGGCTGTGTGTGCCGTGAAGGAGCTGCTGGTGACTGCATGCAAGAACCAGTGGGACCAATTGCTGGGGAAGGGGTATGAAGAGTCTGGTTTCCATGGGATGCAAGAAGGTGTGTATTTAGCCACCGTGGGCTAGCCCCTTGGTGTGTGGGCCGAGGTTTATATTGCTCCCCAGTGTGCACAAGGAGCACCGAGGCTCTTGAGAGCCCCTGTTTAACTTTTATAACTAGCAAATGAATGTGAGAAGCCAGCACCCCCAGGGCAGAGCCGTGAAGCGCTCCCTACCCGTCCCGACAGCCTTGGAAACTGTGTAATTGCATAATCAGCCTCTCAGGCAGCCTCTGCCGTCTGGGCTCCCGTCTCGCTCTGGGGGGGTTTTATGAAGTTTCCACAACGACTAGAAAGTCAGAAGGCAACAAACAGGCTTGGAGCTAGGTGTGGCCGGGCGGTTTGGGGAACTCCCCCCAAGAGGCTTCCCATGAAAGGAAGACTTGTCTCCTCTGAACACAGACCTACCACTTCATTCCCGGACTCTCTGTCCTGCAGGGGGAGGGGGAAGCTGAAGCTGCTGGTTGAGTTTCAGACAGACTCGGGCAGCTTCATTTTAGCTTTTAATGACTGGTTCAACTCCCCGTTGTTTGTAATTCTCCTGGAGACCCTTCAAAATCATTCCCTTCCCAGCCACGCCCGTCTCCTCCTGCGGAACACATGTGGCCATTGCCTGCCATTAAGCCCAGTCCAACAGGGATCTGCCTTGTATTGTGTATACTGTGTACTGGCCTCAGCCTAGGAACATGGGGTTGGGTTGTTAGTGCCCCCTGTTGGCTGGCTGGCAGTGCAGCAGCAGGACCATCTGTCGTAGGACCCTGCATGAATGTTGTAGAGTCCCAGGGACGTTCCTTTTTTGCTCTTGGTTTTATATTTTTAAATGCAGGAGCAGCATGATGTACCCTGAGGCCCAGGGCTTTGCACCTCCCTCTGAGATTCACACAGCATCCGTTCACGGGGGCTTTGTTGCCTTTGCTGTTTATGTAGCTCGATGGTGATGCCTTTTATTCCTCTCCTTGCAGCAGTCACTGAGCCCCAACCTTCGGACAAATCAAACAATCCAGCCTGCTTGGAGACAAGAGACTATTTCCTGAAATGTAAGACCCTGACCTTTGTTTTGGCTTCTGTTGCTAAGGCCAGTTGCTGCATTTCCCCTTTCTGCTCAAAACACTGATGACATGTAAACTTTCTGTACTGGCAGCTGCATTTGTATGTCTGCTCCCTGGCAGGGTCCGGTGCATGTTGTTGGGATAAATACCATACAGCTAATAAAGGGAGTCCATTTGCCTTCCAGCTAAAGTCTTAAAAACTCAGCCTATGTGTAGTTCTGCCAAACCAGTCCTGGGGGACCTAGCCAAGACGCTGTTGCACGTAAAACGCTTTCCACGTAATTCAGTCACAGATTAATTTGATCCTCTGTTTAATTAGCTCGGAACCTCTGGAGTCAAATAACTTGTAATCAAAATAACACTAATTCCACGCTCTGTTTTGAACCAGTTTGATGGCTTCAGGCAGGTGGCTAATTCGGTTGCTGAAGTTGTTAAAGCCGGACAAAATTCTGACTCAAAAAAGCCCAAGGAAGAGCCAGGCTAACTGAAGAGGTTACAATGAAAAGTTGCCTGATTCAGACACTGTGATTGATATTCAAAGCACTGTGCGGGGCTTGGCAAGCTGCCACACAAAGACCAGCTGTAGAACCAAAAGAGACTCGATCTGACCGACTGTGCTCCACCATGCGCTGCTGGAGCACAAGCTCGCAGAGAGGGGAGAGAGATTGAGCTTGCATCCTTCCCAGTGAGCCATCTCTCACCTGTACACTACCCATGGGTCTCTGCTTTCTTCCCCCGGCTTTATTTTCTGCTCCTCTCCTGTTCACACAGACATGCGTTTACTCACAAATCCAAGGACGATTTTCTAGTGCCTGTCAACAGTCTTCTTGGAGACAGGTTTCAGAGCGGTAGCCGTGTTAGTCTGTATCAGCAAAAAGAATGAGAAGTACTTGTGGCACCTTAGAGACTAACACATTTATTTGGGTATAAACTTTCGTTGGTTTTAGCCCACGAAAGCTTATGCCCAAATAGATGTGTTAGTCTCTAAAGTGCCACAGGTACTCCTCAGTCTTCTTGGAGGAGCTGCTGCTGGTCACGCTCCCCAACGGAAGTTGGGCCTGTGCAGATATGGATCCAATCCATGAACGCCTCATTCAGCTGGAAATTCAAGGACCTTCTGTTCCCCCTGACTCCTCTGCATCTGACTTGCAAGCTGGATCCCCTGGGCTTTGTGGATCTACACTGTGCCTTATTCCTGTGCGTGGGAGGGTGGCCAGTACTCTATCCCAACTGAACTCCTGTTTTGTAAATACCCATCAACAAGGCCCCAGGCCATAACCCTCCTTCTGACCAGACAGAAATTCCTTGGGATTAGATAGTATCCTTCCGGGGCCAATTACTACAGTATTCAGTGGTAGGAGGCCCATTGCCTCCATGCCCCTCCAGCCCCCTGCTGCCCTAGAGAACAATACCAGCCATAAAAATCTGTTGCTTCTTTCAGAGTCAGTATCCATGGTGGGTACCTGCTCAGCTTCTCAGTGCAAGGGCATGTGGTCAATTTATTTGGGGGTAGGGCTGAGTCTGTGCAATTCTCTGCAGCATTAAGAAACTCTTAATGGATAAATCTGCTGCGGGGTAAATTCAGAATACGCCTCTTAACCTCTCTGCTAGACAGAAAGAGCCAGTCTTTCATGTTGTTTCTGGCCCCGCTAATAATCTGCTGCCTTAGTCTGTGGCTAATCACCCTAACACGCACCATCAGATCAGACACTGTGTTAGCTGCAATCAGCAGGAATGCTTTTGCTTTCTGTATGCAGGGTTGAATTCCTAGAGGGGTGGGGGTGGCAGGAAGTTCTCGGGGGCAGGGCTGTCTGCTCTGGAATTCTCCTGATGATCAGACAAAGGCCAGATCCATCCAGCAGCCAGTAGGACACAGTACTAAGGGCATGTCTCCGCTGCAAGTGAAGCTGTGATTGTAGCATGCGCGTGCATACCCGCACTAGCTTTACTCCAGCTCGTACGGCGGCATGGCTAGCAACCAGGCTCCCCAGCAGGCTCCTGCATTAGTAGCTAGCCTGTGTTGAAGCCTGGGCCATCACATCTACGCTACTACAGTTACCTGTGCTAGCTAGAGTAAAGCTAGTGCGGGTATCCCCCCCCCGCATGCTACAGTCATACCTTTGCTTGTAGCGTAGACATACCCCAAGGCGCATCTCTTTAGCTTTGCTGATTTCGATCAATAGCTGGGTGGGCGTTCGTTGCCATTGGGCCAGGGGTGGGAAAGGCCTCTGCCCAGATATTGGAGAGCGATAGTACAGAAACAGACCTGGTAACGTTAGCCACTGAAACTCACCACTTGGGGCTAAAGGGGAAAGGGATGCTCTGTGCTAAATTCGATTCTGATTCTCTCTTTTGTGTTTGCTTGTCCCCTCCTGCACAGTTGCCTTCATCATCGATTTGGACAGCGATACCGCGGACAAGTTCCTCCAGCTGTTCGGAACCAAAGGGGCCAAACGAGTATTGAACCCCATCGGCTACCCCGAGAGCCCAACCAGGTTCATCAACTGCGAGCAGGTGCTGGGCGAGAACCTGATGAACCGAGGCAACTACTACTGGGAGGTGGAAATCATCGACGGCTGGGTGAGCATCGGCGTCATCGCCGAGGACTTCAACCCGCGGGAGTCCTACGACAGAGGCCGCCTGGGGAGGAACGAGAAATCCTGCTGCCTGCAGTGGAATGGACAGAACTACGTGGCCTGGTTTGGTGGCTTCGAATCCGTTATCCAGCAGCCCTTCTTTCACACGATCGGGGTGTACCTGGAGTATTCAGAAAAGGCACTGACCTTCTACGGGGTCAGGGACACCAAGATGACGTGTCTCCAACAGCTCAAGGTTGCCCGCTTCAAAAAAGGCCACTTTGACCCCTTCCAGAATAAGATCAACCACCAGTTCCCATCGCTGTTTGCTTATAACCTCAAACCAGCTTTTTTCCTTGAAAGCGTAGATGCCCATATGCAGATTGGGCCGTTGAAGAAAGATTGTGTTTCAGTGTTAAAGCGGAGGTAACTTGCAGAGAAGACCCAGGAGTCTCTCTTGTAATTGTTTACCAGCACCGTGGCTTATATAGTCTTCTCTCTGGAATAGCCCTGCCAACCCACTCTAGCCCTGTGCTGTTTGTAACCCAGGGGTTAACAAACAGAAGTCGCCTCTTAGCGGATAAAGCCCTGGACTGGGACTCAGGAGACCTGGGTTCTGTTTCTGGCTCTGCCATTGGGTGACCGTGGGTAAGTCACGTCACCGCTCTGTGCCTCAGTTTTCCCATCTGTAAAATGGGAGTAATTATACTAACCTGCTTTGTAAAGTGCTTTGAGATCTACTGAGGAAAAGCAATAGATAAGAGCTAGCTATTATTATTATCTTTAAAAAACGGGCATTTTATGATGGCCTATCCCTGCCAGCCCTCCATTCCTAACCAAGGGGATATAATCTTAGTGACCGCTCCGACCATATGATCCCACAGTTACTCTGCTCTGTGCCTTATTCCACACTGTAAATGCGGGATGGTCGTTTAATACGTGTTAGCCCCCCGACACCTTCAAAATCTGCTTTCTGGGCGAACGCCTCCTAGACAATGCTTTAAAAAGAGCAGGTACAGCATGGGCTGTACAAATACAATGCTCTACACAGCAGCAGTACACTGAACCACCAGCGTGCCTCAACCTTATTCTGGAGGGACCATATCTAAGAGTGAGAGCGCCCCCCCAAGACATACGGATGCTGTGCATAAAGACACCTCATGTCCCAAAGCAGGGAGGTGATAGACCAGCACCAATGAGATCACACCTAGAATGCTCAACTGAGTCCAACACACCTCCACACCAGAAAGAGGGAGACAGGAATTCAGGGAAAACCAGCAAGAATGACTACGGGTGTGGGAGGGATGGGTTGATTGAGGAAAGATTAAAAGAAGTCCTGGATTGGCTGCAGGATGACGATGGGACATGACGCCGATGCACAAGGATGTAACCGCATTTTAGTAAGAATTGTTAGGGGTGGTAAGTAGGGCTATAACTAGGAGGAATGGGATGAAATTAAGGAGAATGAAAGTTGAATATCAGGGAAACTTCTTAATGGCGAGATCTATTCTTTTGTGGAATAGTCTCCCAAGGGAAATGGTGGAAGACCCCTGTGATGGGTTGGATCACAGAAACCCCCTGGGGCTGCCAACTGATGTGCCAAGACTACTACTACCCCTGCTGGGACTCCAGCACCCTGTCTTGTTGAGCCAGACGCGCTAGGCTGCTCCAACACAGGCCCAGGGTCCGAACCACGTGCCCCAAAGCTGCAGATTTAACTGAAAGCAGCTTAAGAAGTGTTCCTGTCTTTAACACTCAGATGCCCAACTCCCAGTGGGGTCCAAACCCCAAATAAATCCGTTTTACCCTGTATAAAGCTTTTACAGGGTAAACTCCTAAATTGTTCATCCTTTATAACACTGATAGAGAGATATGCCCAGCTGTTTGCCCCCCCCCCCCCCAGGTATTAATACATACTCTGGGTTAAATAATGAGTAAAAAGTGATTTTATTAAATACAGAAAGTAGGATTTAAATGGTTCCAAGTAGTAACAGACAGAACAAAGTGAATTGCCAAACAAAATAAAATAAAACCCGCAAGTCTATGCCTAATACAGTTAGAAAACTGAATACAGATAAAATCTCACCCTCAGAGATGCTTCAATAAGTTTCTTTCACAGACTGGACGCCTTCCTAGTCTGGGCACAATCCTTTCCCCGGTACAGCCCTTGTTCTAGCTCAGGTGGTAGCTAGGGGATTTCTCATGATGGCCGCCCCCTTATTCTGTTCCACCCACTTATATATCTTTTGCATAAGGTGGGAATCCTTTGTCCCTCTGGGTTCCCAGCCCTCCTTCTCAATGGAAAAACACCAGGTTAAAGATGGATTTCAGTTCAGGTGACATGATCACATGTCACTGTAAGACCCCAAGCCTTCATTCCTCCCAGCCTGACTCACAGGAAGGCCTGCCTGCAAACAGAGCCATCCACAGTCAATTGTCCTGGTTGATGGGAGCCATCAAGATTCCAAACCACCATTAATGGCCCACACTTTGCATAATTACAATAGGCCCTCAGAGTTATATTTAATATTTCTAGTTTCAGATACAAGAATGATACATTCATACAAATAGGATGAACACACTCAGTAGATTATAAGCTTTGTAATGATACCTTACAAGAGATATTTTGCATGAAGCATATTCCAGTTACATTATATTCACTCTCATTAGCATATTTTCATAAAATCATATAGGGTGCAACGTGTCAACCCCATCAGCTGAATTATTTAAAAATGGTTTGGATAAAGGACTCAAAAATATACTGTGCAGAACAATCTCGCATTAGCCAGGAGATGTAGTAGATGAACGAATGCCGTAGAACTTTTCCGTCTCTAGCTTCTTTGAGAGGCTCATTCAGTTCTTGGCTTCTTCGGTGAGACTGCTAACTAGCCCAGCCCTCGTTGTCATGTCACCTGTCCACTAAAACTGGTCTGGGACCACCAAGTTCATTTTCACATAGTCCACCAAATAACCATCCAGATGGTAGCAGCTTTCAATATGGGATGGATTTGAACTGGCGACACAGAGATGAAATGTCCCAAATCCCATTGCCAATCCCCTGAACAAAGTGACGGTACATGTAAAGGGAAACGAATGACCTTTATGATCATGTAAACCATTTATATATGCATCATGAGCATCATCTTCTGCAGATACTTTGAATGTTGGTCTGTTGCATTTGGGAAAGCAAAATATTCCTGTGGGCATTATGAGGCCAGTGCTGAACCCTTTACTTAGGCTAAATTCCAATTGACTTCCACTGAAGCAGCTCTGGGCCCTCAATCTGCTTCCCAGTACTATAAAATATCCCAGCCAGTGGGATGAAATAGCTGCTAGTGAGAGACTCCAGCACCATTCACTGGCTGGAGATCCTGAAATAGCAATAGCGGTATTTATTAAAATTCACTTTTAATAGATAGTTTCTTATCTGGGAACTATTAATTTAGTTAATTAAGGCATCACTGCAGGTTTCCTTTTCTGTTATAATCACATCCCTACTTTCCTGGGAACTTTAGTAGCATTAAAATCCCAAACTCCTAAAAGACTCCAGTTAGTGCAGTTCCTTTTTAGTTATTAATATACCCCAGTGTAGTTTATAAAGGGTTTTAAATGATTAATAGATGTGCTAAGTTGTAACAGATGTAAACAGTATGTGTTATCGAAGATGGTTATAAGCACATCAGTAGAAGCTGTTCTAGATGGTTGTAAGCCCTGGTTATAAACAACCTATTGGATTCTGACAATCTGTAACCTTTCATTAACTATATATTAAAACATCTGTTAATTATGTATTAACCATTTATAAATGTATCCTTAATATAAAGGATGGTGGTGAATCCCTTCTAAAAAAAGGTGGAAAGGAAAAGAGAACTTTCAAGAGCACATTTCTCAAGCCACCTTCTCAAGTATGCCTTGGAGATATACAATAGCTGGAATGAATTACTGTCACATCTATGCACTGCAGTAGCTTCATCTCCTACCTGTCTCAGTCTTATATACTTTGCTATGAGTTAATTTTCTCTGATATTAGTTTATCACCTACCTCCTAGAGCTTGCATTATATAAAAAAAGAGACCTAGTGTACTGTATTTATGTAAAGAGAAAATAATTGGGTCAAATTCACCACTGATGTAACCCACTTCCAGTAGGGATGAATTTGGCTAAGATGGAGTTAAGGCTGTAAATACATAGAAATATATTCATGGAAAAAAACCGTAATAAAATGCTGTAATTAAAAAAGCAGTCCAAAGGCCAGGAAATTCACAGTTAAAATTACAGATACATCTCCCAACATGGAGGCCTGATGAAATGCACCCACTCGCCTTCTCAAAGGCTCCAGTCCTCTGAAGGCCAACAGCTTCAGGAGATCTGGGTTCTGTTCCCAACTCTACCAGAAGCATGCTGGATGACATTGGGCAAGTCACTTCCCAGGTCTGTGCTGCAGCTTCCCATTCTGTAAAATGGGCATAATGATCCTTACCTCCTTTGTAAAATACTTTTGAGATCTACTGATGAAAAGTGCTAGATATAGATAGATAGATAGATAGATAAGAGCTAGGAATTATTATTCTATGGTGATTTTTGAAATATTATGAGCTATTAAAAAAAAGATTAGCAAATTCTTCAAGAAGTGATGAAATCTTGACCCTGTTTAAGTCTATGGGTATTTTGCTATTGATTTCAATGGGGACAAGTGTTCACTTCTTATGTTTTTAACTCTTATTTCTGAAACACTCTGTCTTTTCTGTGTCTGACTTTGCATAAAATCTCTAATGTGGCGTGAGACAATATTTGTGCCGTTTCATGTGGATTGCTTTAGTTTTGGTGAAGCTAGAGGTGATTAGGATTGGAAATGGCTATATAAGCAAAAAGCTAGATTCAACCTTTACAACAGAGAAGCTATCCATAATGTAGTGAGAGGGAAAAATAAGATATTAATCTCTGTACTTCGGCTTAATATGTGCGGTAAGGGCTCTAGGACACTTGCTTAAGTCTTTATCGGCTAATATAGCTTTCTCTCATGGGCCAAATTCTGACTGTGTTACTCGAGCAAAGCTCCCATCAGCTTCAACGGGAGTTTTGCCTGAGTGTGGGCTGCAGGAGTGGGCCCCTGGTTCCATTTGTGTATCAAAGAAGATGACTTAATTCCTTATTAGAATGAATGTGTCTTTGGCAGAGGGTTCGTTATGTAAAGGTGGGCATTCCCCATTCTCCCAGTTGCCCATAGCAAAGGTGTATGTCACACACCCTGTCTGTGGTACTCATTCAGGAGATTAATTAATTAGGCTGATCCTAAACTTTTGTCTTTCCCCTGTGTATCTGCATTAACTTTTCCCCCATCCTGGGCTTCAGCAGTGAAGGCAGCGGCAGTACTCAGGAGGCAATGATGTCTAGCAGTTAGAGCAGGGAATTATGAGTTGGGAGAATTGGATTCTGTTCCTAGTTCTTCCACTGACTTGCTGTTTGACACTGGATGAATCACTTAACCATTCCAAGCCTCTTTTTCCCAGTCTGTGAAATGGGGATACTAATACCCGGCTTTAGAAAGGGCTTTGAGAACCACTGTTGAAAGGTGCTATAAAAAAGGGAAGCATTATTATATTATCCTCCCCATGGATGGAAGAAATGCTGAGATAAGACTTCAGAACCACTCCATAAGCAGCCACAAGGGTAGTGCAGAATTGCAGTGCATGGCAGGAAGCTATTGACATGGGCCCTTCTCAGCCCTGTGATAAGCAGTTGCAACTTCTGTTATAGCTGGTATACCTGCTTACCTCCATGCCTGAACTTGGCCTATTCTTGCCAGTCTCTGGCAGGTTGGAGAGGATGAGTTCCAAGGTCAACCATGAAACCAGTGCCCTGCCCTAACCCTAACCCTATCCACTAGGCCCCAGAAGTAATTGTATGTCCATGAAATGAAACAACAGGATTTTTACAGAGAACCTGCTATAAATGATCTTCCACATTTGCCTGCAATAACTTGTGAAAGTAGCTTTAATAAAAGGCAGCAGTTGAGCTGATTCATTTTATCACAGCTATACAATTTGCTTCATTTTAAGATGAATATCCCCTGCCTATTCTTTCAGTCCATTTAGAAGTAAGATAAACTCTCATGCTTCAGGGCACAAACCAAACTCTAACTATCAGGGATAGGAAGAAAGTTCTGTCAGCAGTTTGTTCAATAACTTCCCTCTTCGAGATTCCTCTGGTGCATCTGATAGTATTTGGAGACAGGGTACTGAATTAGATGGACCACTGGCCTGATCCAGGATTGAAATCCCTATGTTCCTAACATGCATGGGGTGTAAACTGGAATGATCAGGAAATTCACACTGAACCAACCCTGGATCTATCCTCTGCTTTTCCATAAGCAACAGGATAAATCCAATAAGCCGCTGTTTACACAGCATTGTGCAATTTCGAGTGTCTGTTTTTTCTTGAGCAATTTTCGCCTCACATAGTGATCATCTTTTTACTTAGGATTTTTTTAGGTATACAATTACTGTGTTAAAGTGTGTGAGGAAACTGTAACAATAATATAATGCTATTAAAGAATGTTAACTACCATTAAACAGTGTACAAACATCATACTGGATTGTCTTTCCTTACAAAACAAAACGACTGAATTATCTGGCCATCTTGTCATTGATTGTTCAGTGTTTTTTTAATGCTGGATAAGACAATGGAGATTTGTTTCCAAGCGATGATGGTTATCAGCAATCGTCTTGCAGCAATAGGGACTGACCACCATTTCATCCA